GCCGTCGAGGATCATGGAGATACCTCGGACGTCCCAATCTGGCGGCTCCTTGGTGACCAGCTGCTGTTTGTTGTCAACGATGAGGCGTTTGTCGAGGTCGTCCTTTTTGCGGTTGGCGTTGACTGTTCCCAAGGAGGTGAAGACGCGCTGTGACATGATCTCACCTAACGTGACTGCGGTGTAATGTTTTGATGTGTGATGTTCATGATACATCCTGGCCAACACTTTGTCTGCGCCCAAGAGGATCTTCTCGGGCGAGTGTGATGTTATTGTAATCCTTGATGAGTTGTGCGTAGACCCCTTGGGGAAGAGTCTTCGGGACGTTGTCCTTGTCGGTTGATGTCGAGGTGGATGTCGGTGTTGTCGGAGTAGGTGTTGTCGACGATGTGCTTGCCGCCAATCTTGCCTGGTATTTGGCTCTGGTCTCGCCGTACATCACCTTCCATTGTGCTATAACAGCGTTGACATCTTCGCCGCCGAGGTCGTAGTCATTGCCCTTGTAGGTGAACTTGCCCTCCAGCTTCTTGACGAGGTCCGTGACAGCCGCGTCATCCTGGAAGTAAACGGATATGGCACTGCAGGTGATGATCTTGATCGCTCGCAGGTACTTCAACACTGGGTCGGTGGTGAGGTCTATCCCTGCTTCTGTTGCCGCGGCTGTCAGGTCGGCATCGACGGTCACCATTGTGGTGAGGTTTGGCGGGGGATCTACGAGCTCGGGTGAACAAATACGGGGCTACGAGAGACAAGGTTGCCTGAACATGATTGCAAAGGGGGTTGGCAAAAGTGCAAGGCGTGCCTGTTTCATGTTCACAGCAGTTGTCTACTTGTTATAAACACCCCGTCGCCTAGGCGGTAAGGTGGTAAGGGAGGAACCTGTTGTAGGCTCTCAGCTGAACGACTCCGATGGGGCGTTCCAGACTGCCTCCTCATCACTGTTGGCGTCCGTGATGGCCTGATTCTCTTGCATGCGGAAGCATCTCTGACACTGGTTGCCCTCGGGGAGAGACCAGAACCTTGTGTGTGGTGCCTGACCGTAGCGCCAACCACAAAGGGTGTGCCAATGAATGTTCTCTGTGGAGAATTCTGGTGCCCCAGATATGTGGATCACGTTGGTGGAGGTGTTCTTCACCCAGAACTTGCTCGTGATGGTCTCGAGGTATTTCTTAACCATCTGTGTCGGCGTCTTGCTGATGCACGGTCTAGCTGATGATCCAGATGCACAGGAAAGAGGAGCTTCTTGGACATAGCGGCGTACTGCGTCGCTGCCCCAGCGGTCGGGTCTGGTGAGCTCAGCGCCGGTGCTTGCGATGGCCTTGCGGAACACTTCGATGGTCTCCAAATGGGTGATGGGTCCGCCTCGGCGTCCATAAAAGAGGTACTCGTCATTCCTGTCGGTGCCCGGGCGATGATTGCGTCGGATGAACGTGTCCAAAGCATGGTATGGACAGAGGGCCGCCAAGTTGTCGGAACATGTGCATGGGTGCGACCGTGTAATACACATCCCAATTGTGTCTGTTTTGTGACAGGGGAGCGTGAAGAACGCCAACCTGCCAAAGGAGGTGGTTTCGAACCAAACATCGGAGAACCGAGCTGCCGCTACTTCGATGCCCCGAAGCATCCACCAGCAGCAGATTGGAGTCACGAGGACACAGTCGTAGAGGTACTCTGCCCAATGGTCTTCGGCTGGTGGTGGTGTATTGGAGCTGTCCGTTGCGGCTGCGAGGTCCTCGACAATGAATGCGTCCTTGAGCGTTGATGGGCCCAGGCCCCGCTCGATGCTCCTGATGGACATGGTGATCTGCTGCTCGATGTCCGCGGAGAGTCTGCATCCGGTGTGTGCAACGTGCTGCTGTCTTGCCATACTGAAGACTTGTGCCGATGAACGGTATCTGCCTCGCTTGAGGCTAGATGCGATGGCCTGGACGAGCTCTGCTGTGATCGGGAGAGGTGGTAATTTCCATGATGTAGCAAGGCGGGTCCAGAGGTTCCACCTCGAGTCCCGCGTGTTCCGGGTGGTGTTGGCGTACTGGTCCCTCACGAGGTTCTGGATTGCCTCTTGTTGTACCGCTGGTGCCGCCGCCTCCAAGGCCCCGATGATGGATCCCCTCGTTGACGATGTCACGACGGGTAGGTCTCTACGGCCGCGTGTCCTGATCTCTGTGGTGCGCTTGGGGATGGATCGTCCCAGTAATCGACAGAATGCTTCGAGGTCTC